GAGGTGGTGGTTCGAACCATGATAATATAAATAGTTAATTAAATTTAGCACAACATCGACACCACCAAACTACAACTCTATTGTTGAAACAATTACATATTGACAAAGATTTAGTCCTTGAACGCTAAAAATCCTCAATAACTTTGAACAGCTATAATTTGTGCTCCAAAATCCGAACGTCATGAATTTTTTTTTTCATTTCGCATAACTTTTGAAGGACTACAATTTTTCCTAGGAAGAAATTTTTAAAACATGAATTATTATTGGATATACAGGATTTTGGGAATAACTTTACCTTCCTTTTTCACAAATCCACGTACATTCCGAAATTATGTCTATGATAAGTGTTGTAGTCCTTAAAAAGTTATGCGAAATGAAAAAAAATTCATGACGTTCGGATTTTGGAGCACAAAGTTATGGCCGTTCAAAGTTTGACGAAATCGGAAAAACTCGTTCGGGGTAGCAAATTATATTTTTTCGAGCTTGCAAGATCTCAAAAAGTTATGCGAAATAAAAAAAAATCTCGACGATCAGATACCCGAACACAAAGATACGTTCGTTTGAAATTTCCACCTAAGTTAGGATTTTTCGGGAAAAAAAATTGTGGTCCAAACCGCAGGGTTGAGCAGCGGTTTTGGACCAGACCGCCCCCAACCCGAGCAGTTTTCAAAACCGCCCCTTAACCATGCGGATTTCATCGAAAACCGCGCCCCTAGTGGTTTTCGTGTAAACCGTGGGGTGAGGTGGCGGTTTTCGAGAAAGGGTGCTATTTTTGTAATTTTTCGGGACTGATACTATTTTTGTAAAAAAAATCAACAATGCTATTTCTGAAAAAAATCCTGGAAATAATATGTCACAACCACATCTAAATACAAAGTATATATAGCAAATCAATAATATTCAATACAAAAGTCATTATGTATGGTCTAACGATGCAGGTTAGATAATAGATAACATGTTAATTATATTGTATTAAAAAGGTCAGTTGGTCATCATATGAAATCGAAAGTGAATCTACACAATAAATAAAAGCCCAATGCATCGAGTTCGAGAGTGAAAGTAGGAAGAACATTTTGGTCTTCACAATTACTTTCTTTTTATTCATTAAAAAGACACTTACTAGGATTCAAACCATGACCACTTTAAAGAAAAGCAAATATCATAACCAATCACACTAAGTACATTTGTTGTATCTTTTTAAATTCAAAACATATAATCGCAGAGTGAAAAAAACCATTTCCCCATTTCAAATTCCCTGCTCCATGAGCGTTTGTAAGGAGGGTAGAATAGGGAGTGTCAATTTTTTTCTTTTTCCTCTGTGAATTGGCCAACTTACCGTACTCATGCGGATTTAAACGGGTCCATGAGTGTCATTTTTTTTCTTTAAGTCCTTTTATTTCTCCGTGGTGATAAAATATATATGAAAAGGCAAAAACAATACTCTTTTTTATTGCCAAAAATAAAAAAAATTAACAATAAACTAATGCATGGATTCTAAAGGGCTAACCGTTAATCATAAAATAAAAGAGTTGAATGGGCCTGACCTACACGGGATTTGCCCATCAAGTAAAACAAATGAACATCATGGGTTTGTCATTCTAAAACAAGCTATTTTCTCTAGCATAATATATATTATGCTATTATTTTATATCTTAGTGGCTAAAATATAATGTATTTTAAAATTATTCAATGGTTCAACTTGGACCAACCCAATTAGTGCAATTTTTATCATTTTGAATATATATTATGTAATTATTTGATATCATAATGATTAAATATAGTGTATATTATAGGGAATCGTTTGGTTGTTAGTAAAAAACTAAATAAAAATATCTATTTGATTATTTTTAACATTAAAATGATCCTTAACATTTTCAGTTTTCTTTCGAAATTCTATAGATTTATTCTCGAATCAGTGATGTGCTAATGGCGATTTGCAGTCATCTCTTTTCTTTCATTATTTTTTATTTTCAAATAGAAAGTTTAAAAGTAAAGAATAATTAGAGTTTGGCATGGGTTGGTCAAACAGGCTGAATTTAAAGTTTTGGCCTGTTTTGATCAAGTCTAATTTATAATCACATGGTTCCCTGATACCCGATAAAAATCTCAATCCAAACCAGTTTGGCAGGTGAGTCCGTGTTTACCACCATTTTCTAGGGATACAGGAACAGTAGTTCCTATCCCAAATCGTGTTGTTCATTCTTGATTTCTTTAGATTTTATCATGGCTTGGCAAAAAACCAGAAAGCACAATAATGACAAGATGGAAGTTTTATAAAGCAAATTAATCGGCTAACGAGCCAAGTAAAAGCTAGCAACGATTATGAGATGCTCATTTCCCGAAAATCGGCGGGATATGCTATTTTTTATTCGATTTTTAGAATTTGGTTTCTATAAAACTTACTCCACATCATCAAATTACCAGAAACAATATTGTTTCACAAGGTAACAGCTACTTGATTTTGGTTCATAATGCTGATTTTTGATTCGTTGCATCATTCATGTCTCTTTCATACTAAAATTCACTATTTTTATCACGTGTTTCCCAAAAAAAAAAAACTATACAACAATAAGTTATACACCCAATTACATTATCAAATTTCATACCTCACCTTTCTCCGGCCAAATGACCGGGGCCATGCTAGTTTCATTGAAGTAGAGAGATAAAATTGGTATATAGTGGAATTACAAAAGTTATTGATGTGACAATAGATACCACATGAAACATAAATTGTATTTGATGAATGTGGATGGTCTAACTCTTTAGAATAATTCACAAATCAGGTTGGCTTTAGAATAATTCACAAATCAGGTTGATGTAAAGTCACTTTCACAATGGTCAATGGCAACTTGGTGTATGACAAACCTGTCGAAACCATTGACCTTTGGGTGACAATAAAAACTCACAAAATTAAAGTCAGAATGCTCCAATGTCTACTGTGTATAGCAAATGTTCTGTTAGACAATGGAAAAAAAAAACGATTAGCTATAATATATATACTTATACTTTGATGAGGTAATTCACTAAGTTGACCCTCTATTAGTATTATGGGTGCTAATCAGTTTGAATTCAGTTACTGCTAATTGATTTGACGGATAATGGTTAGCCAATAGACAAAAATACTTCCTAATAACATAACCAATTTGGTTAACGATTAGTATTACAATTAACCATCAAAGTTAAGATAGTCTAATGGTAAAGCTGTCTCGATATTGAAGGATTGGGAGTTGCAGATCCCAGGTTCGAATCCAAGCGAGGCCCGTTGGTGTTCACGGAGGTACAAAACTGCTAGGGGCAAAGTCCAGTTGGCGTTGAATTTGATTACAGGTGGCCCCAGATTTAGTAGGACGTGCTGTCACAAAATGGCACGTGTGGCTGAGGTTCCTGGGTAATAGATAAAGTATTACAATTAACCATTAACTGCCAACCAGGGGCATAGCCAGGATTTTGTCGAGGGTGGGTTCATTTGGAAAAAATACATACAATAGAATAGTTTTGTTACCACTTTTAAATAAATCACCCTTTTATATTGTATTTACAAAAACTTGGTAAATTAAATATATGTCTAAACTATAAAGAATATCACTCTATATGTATCAACCAATTATTAACGATTCAGTTAGACATTTGCTTTTGAATGGTGTTATTCGTCAAGATCATTTAGTATCAATAACTCGATTTGTTGTGAAAGATTTAATAATTTACTTATACTGTTTAGTATTTCTAACACTTCTCCGCTAACGAAAACCAACTTATATGTGCTTAAAATTTTCGAAAATCCGAATAACATGTATTTAACAAATGAGATCGCCAAGATTCGAACATATGATCTTTCGGACAACCATTCTCAATTAGAAGTGCCTTAAATTTCTTTCTCAATTAATTTTTATACTATTTTAGTCATTTTTGTCCTTAGAAGTAGCCTGTTACACTCTCCCTATCCTTGAGTGAAATAAACTTTTTTTTATAAATTAGCTATAATTTGATGGAAAATTTTTCAAGATATAATTGGACAAATACACTTTAATTTTGTGCGGATCATATGCATTATTGTCATTGTACATAACTCGTTATAAAAACATTGAATATGTCAATACATAACTTATAAATCATACATCAAATATTTGAGATTTCAACCATTTTCAATGAAATATGTGTTATTTTTCATACCGAATTAACTATTATACCTAATTTACAATTTTTCTCCCCGACCAAGGTGGGTCCTCCGCCTCTGCCACCAACAACCTCCACACGTCACCTTTTGTTTTATAATAATAAAATATAATCATACAAAATAAATCAAAATAATTTAACTAAATTCTATATTGTTAACATAGGATAATAATTATAAAACATAAACTCAATACATACATCATCCTTCGTGAATTCGTAATCCAATTCCAAAACATAAAAACTTGAAATAAGAAACAATCAAACTTCTTCATTCAAATAATTGTAAGAAATCAGATTAGGTTGTTAAATAGAGCACGGGAACCAGCCTGATGGTAGAGTTGTCAGTTGTCACCTCACCTTCTGTAGATTGCAATTTGCAAGTATATATTGCAACATCGCTAGGGGTGGCTCTACGGTCCGGTCCAGTTAAATTGGACCAAATTGATCTGGTCTCAGTCCGGTCTTTTCGGAAATATAAGGACCAAAGATTGAATTGGATTCAGTCTGGTCTTGATCCTGTCCGGTCTTGACCCGATCCGGTCCCAATTTGATCTTGATTTTAGATTGAGCTTGTGGGGATTTGAGTGTTGGGGTCTCTTATCCGGTTTTTTTTACCTCAAATCTAAGCCCGAATATGAGATCATATTGTTTGCTATCCGGTCCTAGTCCGGTCCGGGTTATATGGTTCGGTTTCGGGTAAAACCAAACAGTCCGGACCAAATAACCAGCCATAAACATCGCACAGCTGGTGGAATTATTGGGCAGTAGCGTAGTTATATTTCTTGTTTCTTCAAACACAATCTTGTTCCTCCTACCGCCCCAATCCGATGAGCAATCAGCAACCTCCGACGGAGTTGTTGTTTTGGAGCTCTCACCAAATCCGCCAGATAGATGGCTTTTGGTACCAGGTGTCGCTTGCGGACGGCATGGCTGCCTTCAGATCACGATTCGAGTCGAGAAGCGACGACATCCTCTTGACGACGTTCCGCAAAACAGGAACGACAATGACTCAAGGTTCTTTGTTACAACATCCTCCTCGACAAAGAAGCAGAACAGGACCTACTTGCAAAGAAGAACCCCCACGAGGTAGTTCCCACACTCGACACCACCTTCCTCGAGGATCGAACACAAGACATCCTGCTCAGTTCCCCTCCTCCCCGGCTGCTCCACACGCACCTACCCTACAGTTACCTGCCGGAGGCGATGAGGGAGTCCGGATGCAAGATCGTGTACCTGGCTCCGAATCCCAAGGACACGGTGGTGTCGATGTGGCATTTCTTCAACAAGGTGTTGAAAAGTGTACCGGGTGACAAGCCGTACCCGTTGGAGGGAGCGGTGGAGAGCTTCTGTAGTGGGGTTCTGCCTTTCGGGCCCTTTTACGAGCATGTGGTGGGATTTTGGCAGGAGAGTCGGAGGCGACCTCAGGAGGTGTTGTTTCTCAAGTACGAGGAGCTATGCAGAGAGCTGAAGGAGCAGGTCAGGAAGCTGGCTTCGTTTCTCGTGAAGCCATTTTCCCAGCTGGATAATGGAGACAGCGAGCTGGAGAAGGTGTTGTGGCGGAGCAGCTTGGATAGGCTCAAGGAGTTGGAGGTTAACAAGATTGGCGTCGGGGAGCTGAACCATGTGCTCAATTCTGCCTTCTTCAGGAGAGGAACCGTACGAGATTGGGAGAATTACTTGACTCCACAGATTGCTCAGTGCATTGACCAGCTTACGCAGTCTAAATTGCAGGGGACGAGACTTTCTCTTGATGATTAATTGCTGGACTAATTAATTAGTTGATGTGATTTTCTACTACTTTCTTTTTTCGCTTCAATTTGGTGTTGCCTTTGTATGTTATGGTTTCGACAATTTCAAATTTCTTACTAAGAAATAATAAAAAAATTGTCTTCTTTTTATTATTCGGAAGGAAGAAGGTAGATGACGATGTGTTGATGTGTGCGTAATTGTGCATGCATGAACTCTTAAGTTCCAGAATAAGGTTTTTTTATGAAAGACAATCAAGATTTTATTAAAAGTCAAGGGCGGATCTATGAGACTTTGGGAAAATGATTATCCAATCTTCATTGGTAATTTATATACGGACAAAAATATTGTAATTGATAGTGGGGACAGTACTCTTGAAATTTTAAAAAATGATTATCCTATTCTCATTTTTTAGTTTGCGACAATATAAGTGGATAGTTAATTTGGATAATTCAAACCCAGGACACTATCATTATTAATAAACATAAGTTCCATTAGACTACAACTAATCTGTTGCTCGATTTTAATAATTAATAGTGAGATGTCATATGCTCACAGTTTTAATAATTAACTAGCTTATTACCCGGCCCGTTGGCCGGATTACTGTATGTTACCCACTTGTGGAATATTGGGAGAGAAAGCAAGTGAGAGTGAAGGGATTGGGATTCCACTTGATTAGGACCGACCCACTAATCCGATTCTTCCCGACCCGCCCCAACAGTGTCAGAAAGAGTCAATAAGAAAATACGAACGGAGATGATTAGTCATATATCTTGACTCTTCAGAAGTGGGTCAAACAGGATCAAGGTTAGGTGAGGGCAATTTTTAGCGCTAAGCAGAGTTCTGGGTTGAATAACTTTACTTAGGCCTAGAAATTGGTGCTGATGCAGACGGCAGTTTTTATTATACCATCATCAATCATCATTGAATTAGTCCTAGGCATCCCTCCCAGTTGTCGGTCTGAATTCTAATGATGGCTTCATTCCTTGCACCAGCCATATCAGCGAGTTGTCATCTCGAGCATGATTTTCCTATGTACAAATGATACAATTAGAGTATGAAATTGAATTCAAAGAAAAGGAAAAGAGAATTCTATCACATGCCAATAAATACACACATAATAGTTGAAGCTAAGTGAAAGTCATTACTCGCACATCAATTCTCAAAAATTACAGACTAACCAATGGCTAGAATGACACTAAAACTACCAAGAATCATGGACGAAACAACTTGTCAAATTAAATAATCCTTATACTGAAACTACCTTCTAACTTGAAATAAGACATGATCACAGTTCATAGCACTCTTATCACTATGAATTGGTTGCAGCTCGTCCTTATCACTGCCTCCCAAGCTCAATTCAAACAGAGACCGTTATATAAGATAACCATATCCTTACAGATCATAATTCCTTTCTTCACTCCATTTTTGTCGGAGAAAAGAGTTATCCCCCTCTCCTGCATTTCCCTTTCCCCCTCTCTTCTCCCTCTTCTTCACAAACCGATCCCTAAACCAGCAACAACAACACAAAAATAGCCTTCGCCTCTACCATCTCCATCTACTGAACGCGTTGGTGGCAAGACAGGACTGCAGAAGCAAAATTTTCTAAAATCAAACTAAATTTTTTGAAGGAGACTCAACCACGAAAAAAGAGTAAGGCAACAATGCTAATAGTTCAGATGGTTGGTTTTGATGTTATACGTTGCTTTTGTTATGGTCTCCAGTATATCAACTACAACAGAGATGTTTCCTCCATCATCTTTAGTGCACGATTTAGAAGTAAGTCCTCTTGTTTGTGTCAAACGGAAACATTAATGGGTTCTTAACTCCCATGTTAGTGTAAATGCAGCAGCAACAGCAAAGAAGTTTGACAACACAGCAAGCACCCATGCAAAATGATACAATGCAGTAGGTGATATGTGTCTCGAAGGTTTTGAGTTACTAAAGTTCATGTTAAAAATAAACATGAATTAAAATGGATTATTCTATGAAGCAAACATCCCCTCTAATCATACAAAAATCAGATATCCAATTCACAAACAATTAAACCATAAAAAATCATCACACATCCACCACCTTTGATTGCCTAAATTTGGTTTTTCGCAAAGTTATGAACTCTTAAGGGTAACATTCATGAGCAGTCTGTTTCATAACTCTAGAGAGCACAGTAAGCAGCCACCAGCCAGACACAGTGCGGTAGGCGAATTTGATTCTCAATTCACAATTTCTCACCACCGGAAGTAATAACAGACCATAATAAGCGTAGCGTTCATGGGTGGTCTATTTCATAGCGCTACTGCACAATTTGTTACAAAAGAAAGAAAGGTATTTAGCATCACGGCGGAACAACTTTTACAGGCCAACAACGACAACATGCTGCAACCACCATAACTGGTATCACAACTCATAGGGAAAATCAAAAGATTTACTCTCAAATTAAGTAGTTACAACATCGAGCAATCATCAAGCACACATACACCATCACAAAAGTCACGGAACCTGATTCACAAAGCATTCAAACATTTGAGGACATTTCTGCAAAGGTACAACTTATATGTCTTTTTTCCAAGCCATTTCCATCAACATGCTAATAAATTTGCAATGCATAAAACAAACGGGCCAAAACTTAAAATTCAGCTTGTTTGACCGACCCATGCCAAATTCTAATTATTCTTTAATTTTAAACTTTCTATTTGAAAATAAAAAATAGTGAAAGAAAAGAGACGACTACAATTCGTCATTTGCACATCACTTATTCAGGAATAAAACCATAGAAATTCAAAAGGAACCGAAAATGTTTAGGATTATTTTAATGTTTAAAATAACCAAATAGATCTTTATGTTAAGTTTTTTACTAACAAATACCAAACGATTCCCTATAAAATACACTATCATTTGATCATTATGATGTCAAATAATTATAAAAATATATATTTGAAATGATAAAAATTGGACTAATTGGGTTGGTCGAGGTTGAACCATTGAATAACTTTAAAATACATTATATTTTAGCCACTAAGATATAAAATAATAGCATAATATATATTATGCCAGAGAAAATAGCTTGTTTTAGAATGGCAAACCAATAATGTTCATTTTTTTTACTTGATGACCAAATCTCATGTAGGTCAGGCTCATTCAACTCTTTTATTTTATGGTTAGCGGTTGAAATTGGGGAAGAGTTTTTTCCACCCTGCTATTATATGTTTTTAATTTAAAAGGACACAACAAATGTACTTAGTGTGATTGGTTATGATCCTTGCCTTTCTTTAAAATGGTCGTGGTTCGAATCCCAGTACATATCTTTTTAATGAATAAAAAAAAATTGTGAAGACCAAAATGTCCTTCCTACCTTCACTCTCGTTGCAGGAAATTTGAAATGGGGCTCCTGTTATTCCTTTTGGCGTATTATAAGTAATAGAGAGATAGAGAAGATTCACTAAGTTGACCCCTTGCTACTATATAGCGCTGGTAGGGCTCTGGAATAATGGTAAGTTGTCTCTTCAAATTGTGTTTATTGCCTTGTTTTGACTGCGATGAATAATATGCCAAAGGTGCTGTTTTGTAAATCTCACGAGATCGGACAGATAGATGCCTTCTGGAATTTCGTGGAGGAAATGGATGGCACCGCCGCATTGATCAGGTCAGGATTCCAGCCGAGAAACGACTACGTTCTCTTGACATCCTTCACCAAAACCGGAACTACTTGGCTCAAGGCTCTCGATCTGTTACAACATCCTCGACAAAGAAGTAGAAGAAAGACCTTTTGGCGAAGAAAAACCCACACGAGGTGGTTCCCACGCTCGAAAACACTTTCCTCAAAGACCAATTCCAACGTATGTTGCTCAATTGTTCGTCTCCTCGATTGCTCCACACTCATTTACCTTATAGTTGCTTGCTGGAGGTGAAGGGAGTACTTCGGGTGCAAGTTCGTGTACCTGGCTCGGGACCCCAAGGACACGGTAGTGTCGATGTGACATTTCTACAACAAGCTGCTCAAACATGGCGGTCCTGAGTTGTTCTCGTTGGAGGGAGCGGTACAGAGCTTCTTTAGCGTTTCAGCCATACGATAGCCTCAATCAGTGGCGGATTCAGAAATTTTATATAGGGGTGTCCACTTCTAAAAATTAAGTTAAAATAATTATTAAATAAAAAAAATATCTAACTTGTCCAAAGGAAAACAAAGCACATGACGTCGGGGTCGTTTGATTTTGGTGATAGTTGAATCGTTGTATTGTCATCAATGCATGCATAATAATATACATGTATATAAGAAAATTGGTGTATTATAGTTTACATCGTTTGGTTTCTGTGATAGTTATTGTAGTATTTAAATAAATTGTATCACTCTTTGGGTGAAATGTCACTTTTATCCTTTGTCTTTAATATAAAAAAGCAATACACATAAAAAGGTAGGGACATCTTTGGAAGAAGAAGAAAACACAACAATCTCCATCAAACAATCTCAACAATCTCAACGAAAACTTGAGATTTAACTATCACTCATTTTGAGTGATAGTTTGTGTCAAATCAAGCAAACAATGCATGTATTGTTTGCGCAGAAAATTTAAAAAAAATGATGCATTGTGGACATTGCATGCATTGTACTATCCCAACCAAACTATCACCAAAACCAAACGACCCCAACGTGAGTCGTACTTTGGAAAAATTGTAAAATACAATCGGTGTCCAACAATGCTCTATAAATCTCTCTCGATATATCCTACTAGACCAGGTGAGCCCGTAATTGGGTTTAATCGTTAGCTTTTGAAAATAATTGGGATAAAAAATAGGTTTTTACTATTATATTTGGATTTGAAATACAAGAACAAATGAGTTATAGTCTAATGAAAAATATGTTTATTAATAGTACCATCGACCCAAGTTCAAATCACATAGGCAACCACTTAAATGTTTATATTTACCCATACACAAACTACTATTGGGAGATTATAATTGTTTTTCCCAATTTTAGGAGTGTCCCGCCACCACTTTAATATTTTTCTTTTACC